AACATGAGAGAGATAATCTTCTCATGTAACTCTCTGCAAACAAACTGTTACATTAAATACAGTTTAAATCAAATTATGATCCCATGTTGTTTGCACTTCTCAAAGGCCTTCCTTTCAGACTTCCCAGTGAATTTTTTGAAAAGCCATACTGGTTCTTCTGAGTAAGCACAACATCTGTGCAACATTCTCTGTCAACAAATAGGTCAGTCAACCTTCCCATCAGCATCCCCAAATCCATACAGTGTGAACACACTGTTTCTTTTTTTGTGTGGTATATTGCTCATGTAGGTATTAATAAAAACGGCAAATCAAACTTCCAATGCCATTTGTCAGCCAAGCTCTTGCTAGGCTAATATTATAAAAGCAAGTGACTGAAAAGCATCATGCAGCGTAAGAGATATGTTCACAAACTAGGCTTGGCAGTCTTCATACATAAATAATATGTGTATTCTGTTGGATCTCTCTTAGAGCTACACTATTTCTCATATAAGCATATAAGAGGTTTGTTTTTGGTCCCAAAAACATGAACTCTTCTATTTCCAATTTACTGGTTCTAAACATGCCACAAAATTACTAACCAGTTAATTTCACTTACACATTCACTTTGTAACGAAACAACTAGAAGGACTGCTGGCAAATTTGAAACGCTAGGATCTGTCCTTTGCTGTTGTATAATCACGTTTTTTTATCCTTAAGAAGAAGAACAGTCTATCAACAGGAAAGGGCATTCACTTATTCCTGAACTAGTGAAAGGGGTGGGTTAACACTATTTCTGATGAGAAACACAGCTGCCTGGGAAAAAGCCTCTTAATGAGAGCGCTACTGGGGCAAAAGAGAGTGCAGGCACTTTGGAAGGCCCTACAGGAGACTGCAAAGCCTATCAAAAATGTATTAGTACCATTTTTGATAATTTTGGAGGAAAAACAAACCAAAAAAATGGTTGTCTCCAATTCTTTTGTTGTAGTTTAAATAATATTCATAATCATAATAATAGTGAGTAGAAAAAAAAGGGGTGAGAGGATCAGCCTTAGTGTTTAAACTGAGTCTCACCTGGAATGACAGAGATAGTTTTCAATGCTCGGAGAACTCTGAATGTTCTCAGCGCAGATACATTGCCCAGCTCCACAAACTCTGTTACATATCTGAAATAGGGGAAGGATCACACACAGAACAAACACAATGACAAAAACCACACACGCCAAGAGCACAACACCACCGAACCAGGAGGAAACGACGCCACTCACAGAGCCTGCCCACTGAGGAGAAGGGTGGAAGGTAAAAGGAAAGAAAGACACACACCTAACACCGACCCCGCCCACCTTCCCCCACACCATCCTGTCTTACCTGGAATTACAGAAATAGTTTTCAATGCCCTCAACACCCTGAACGTGCGCAGAGCTGAGACATTGCCTAGGTTTACAAACTCTGTTATATACCTGCAGGATCAAACCACAGTTACAACAGCTCATTATTTACATTTAGATATGAGGTGAAAAGACAACTTCACACACATATGGCTATCTGACAGCACTACACACAGTGAAGATATTGTACTTTGCAATATGCTGATGATTTCTGGGTTTGTATTTGTTCAAATGAGGGAAGCTAAATCTATAGTGTAAACAGGTGATATATTGTTAACAGGAGATGCAGAGCCTTTAACTGATGTTGAAGACCTCAGCAGATTTTGAGAAAAAAGGTGAATGAGAGGATGAGTTGGACTGCAAGATAAATTTGATGAAGTGTGAGTGTTGTCAGTGAAGCTGCATTGTCAGATGAAAACCTTCAATTGCCAAAGAGAAAGACGAGAGAAGTCTCTGATCAATGGAGAAAATATAGAAAATGGGTTATCAGACAAGAAGAAAGACAGACATAAAGATGAACAATCATTTGTAGCATTGAACCCGTCCATTTTAACAAACCAACTTTTGTACACAATTTCATTTCATCATCCAGTATAGTATGATCACAAGAAAAATACTTACGCCATCGAAATGACCATAAAATCCAGCCAGTTCCATGGATCTCTTAGGAATGTAAATCCATCTATGCAGAATCCTCGTGCAGTGATTTTTACAAGAGACTCAAATGTATAAATTCCTGTGAATGTGTACCTGAAAGAAAAACATGATGACACAATCAGTTCACCAGGCTGGATCAAAGCTCACACATATCAGAATGTCTTCACCGTCATTTGGATTTTGAAACACCCAGGAAATGAAATGAGTGTAGGGCTGAGGATAAATTTGGAAACCTCAGATAAAACTGTTACATACATCATCTTTGACTAAGAAAATACACTTTTACAGAAGCAAATGTGCTTTTACAGGAAATATGAATTACAGTGTTTCTAATATGAAGAATAAATACTAGAGTTAACTGCAACTAAGCCTCAGTTCATTTCTCTCATGCATTACCATTATACATTTGAGTTGTAGAGCTAAGTATCAAATCCCCCCCCAAAAAATATTCATGTCTGTCTTTGAACAAAACTACAAGTCATCAGCCATGAAATAAATGTCAGCATGCTAACATGCACACAAATGACAATGCTAAAATGCTAATATTTAGCAGGTATAGATAATGTGAAGGTACGTCACGCTGTTTTGAATGCTGGGACATTTTTGGAGATATGCACTGTATTTACCAGCATACATTCTTGTTTTGTTTGGCTAACATAGCTTAAATCGTTTATATCTCACTTTATTGACTGGGGCAATTCAAAATGGATAACCTTAGCTGACTTGAGTGGACCTATAGATCCCGTCTACAAGAGCAGCAGACTATCAAATCAAATCAAATCAAAATTATTTATATAGCACTTTTAAAAACAACATCCAGTTGACCAAAGTGGGCAGAATAAAATCACAATAAATAACTAAAATAAAATAAATCGGATCAGTGCAAAAATAAAACAGCACAATAACACAGACACAGATGACGTACATTCAATAAATTAAACGGAATGCATCAGGCCCTACTATGTATTAAAAGCCAAGGCAAATAAATATGTTTTAAGCAATGACTTAAAAGTAGTCAGGTCAGTAGACTAAAAAACAAAGAATGCACACTGATCTGAGCTCTGGGTTCAGGAGATAACGCTAGCTAGCAGCTATCAGCAGATGACACAAACACTGCAGATGAATCAATTGCTGTCCTGTGTATGCTCAACATTAAAGTGGACGTTAGGATGAAACTGAAGCATCTGCTACTGTATGTAGCTCTATGGGATAGTTTTTTTATTAACTGAAAGATGTAATGTATATATCAATGATTGACAATTAGTGTGATGCTCCAAGCTGGCACATTTACCCAAAATTGAACACAGTGTGAAGTCAACTTCACATGCTCTATACTGCTTACCATATTCACAATCTTAGTTTAGCATTTTAGCACTAAATACAAGGTACAGCTAAAGCTGATGAGATTGTTATTTTTGCAGATATTTGGTCATAACAAAAAAAATTTGTCAGAGTATCCCCCAACTGAATTGATAATTCACACTGAGGGGAAGGTGGATGTCTGCACTGAATTTGTTTCAATTTATATCAGTCCACTCGGTGGTCGTCAAGACATTTCAAAGGTAAACCTCAATATGAGTAAGGGGATCACCAAAGTTGGCAGGATTCATCCCATGGAGACCAGGGATGTCTGCGCAAAATTAGATAGCACTAACAGGCTGAGATAGCGGGAGCCACTACAAAAATAAAATAATCAACAACATGTTATCTTATATACTGAGGTTTCTTTCCAGTATTTTAAATGTTCAATCAAAATGTGTTCATATTTTAGAAAAAAAAAGGCTATAATGTAATTTCTGTCCACATTATGAGTTGCAACTTCTTCTTTTATTGTTCAGCAAACAACATTTTTCACCCAGAAGAGTATTTAAGAATTCTGGGAATCTCAAAACAACAATAAAAAACTTTATGGGCTTTTTATACTGAATATATTTTCGGATTCTAGTGCAATGGTAGACACAAACGGTGGTTATCTAGAGGCATGCATTTATACCACTGAGTGAATATGCTTAGTACTTACTCTACTTGTTTTGACCACTCAGGAGGATCACTAAAGGTCATAAATATACAGTTGGTCAAAATAGTACACATAATGATCATGCTGAAAAGAGTGAGAAGCAAGGTTAAGGAAAATATAGATGGTCACAAACATTATTAACATCATCAAACCTCACTGAAAATGTGAATCACAGCAATAAAATATCTACATTCACTTTATGTAATGTGATGTCTTTGATTCAGTCAGGCCTAGCAGCCATCAGCAAGTCAAGGGTTAATGTCATGAAGCTCGTAGCACTTAACAAAAGGCGGACATGTGTACCCACTGCCACAAAGGCCATTATTTTACCTATTAAATATTTAAATGGTACACAGTATATGTAGTGAAAAATCCAGTTGCAGAGATTTATGCTCAGAGGAACTGAGGGAAACCACGTTTAGTTTTAAAGGCAGCCAGAGGTCAGTAATAGCTGTGCACTGTGGCTAAGAAACATGAGGAAATGTAGGTATAGAATAAAAAAAGAAAAAGGGTTTAAGGTTTAGACTTGTTACTGTAAGTATTACTGTATCTGACACAAAGGAAACTGTCTACATTGCAAACAAATGCATATGAATCATGGTGAAAGGACAAAGCCAATACACTGTTAATATAACTTTAGTCATTACATCATTTGTATTTTACTTCTGACGTTGTAATGTTCAGAGGATGCTTGCATAAATATCGTTTTTAATACCTTTTCCTGTCCTCGCATTTTTTTAACAAAATGTATGTTTTTGATCAAATGTGGCATTGGAGACAAGATTTAAAATGGGTTACAGTATCAATGTTATATTCACCATGTGGTAAATCAGTAGGCCGTTCTGACTTTTGAATGTTTAATTAATGACTTTATTTTATGGATATTTTTTTTAATCATTGTTTGTCAATGTCCTTCCACCTTTCGAGACTTTGACAGTTCTCTGGGTACAACCTTCACCTGTTCAGTCTGAGTGCTGAGATAGTGGCACAAAGGCCTAAGCTTGGTTTACTGTTAAAGATGACTCATCATTTGTGCTTGCCTTTCCTTTCAATGATAAAATGGCTACTGTATGCCCTCCTGTATGCTCTTCCATATAAGGAAGTCTTCTGACTCTCTAACACACTGACTGAAAAGAGGTACAAGCAGAAAGAGACAGAACATATGATAAATGACACACATAAACAGGAAACACTTGTGTCTTTGTTGTTAAGACATTTCAAAGGATATGCATGTATCAAAATTTTAATAGCTATTCGCCTAACCGGATTAAAAGGACTTATGAAGTACAAGGCAGGTGTGGCACTAAAACGGAAGATTGTCTTCCCTCTATTTAGTACTATAAATGTCTGTGGAGAGAAAAAAAAGAGAAAGACAGTATTAATCAATTACCCATCAGATAAAAATACACATATACTGTAGCACAGGTTATCATAAGAAACATTGACCAAAAGCAACTCAATTTGAAACAAAAACAAATATGTTATCCTACTTCAAGTAGCATGTTCACCACATACATACACATAGGAAGTTGTGCGTTTTGAGCTGATACACATTTGAAAACTGCAAATGGCAGCCAGGATGCCTTTAATGTTAGAATGTTGTCCCAGTCACTCAGTGCAACTCTGTCCTTCAAGGCTTTGGTGGGTTCAAGAAAAGGCAACAAGCAAAACTGAGAGAAGCCTGTAAGGCTCTTTCTGTAGATAACTTCATAATTGTTTAAATAAAACATGACAATTTGCATGAAATTTTAATGAGATGCTATGCATTTGTAAGAGTGATAGGGGCCCTTCAGCTTTTAACAAGGCATCCATCACTACATTAAGCCCTGCAGGGAAACAGTGAAGTCAGTAGAGAAAGGGGAAGAGGACAAATGTCAGAGGCCTCATGCTGGTGTTACATGACCACATGCAACCAATGCGCTTTCAGCAAAAATCACAAGAATTTGTCAAGAAGAAACATCTCAGAGAAGAACATGGAACTAAACTGTCTCGTTACTATTATGGATCAGAGTAGCAGCCTCCCCACTGAGGGATAATGCTCTCATATACAGCCTAACGTAAACATTCCCAGTCAGCAAACTGGTCAGCTATAATGACACACTTGGAAATGCCCCAGTTGCCAGTAGCTTGACATTTTCTGTTAAATACAATCGTCACACCCATATGTTGTGTGTGCATATCCATGACTGATACACAAACTAATGCATATATTCACACATTAGGTGATATGTGCACACAAACCAGCATGCACAACGCTGAAAAATAAGCAATGTTGCCACGCACACAGCTATACTGTATATATGAAGCCCTTTTTTGTAACACATGACTAAACTGCTGCAAAGCTACTGAAAATTTCATAATCCAGAACTGAGCAAAAGCGAGGGAAGAGGAAAGGCAGAAAATGGGGAAGATGGAGCACAAGTGAAGCAGGCAGGCAGCAACAACTGTAGCAGCAGCAGCAGGCAGACGGAACTGGAAAAAAAAAAGACAGAAGAGGAGGAGTATGGTGACACAGAAGCGCCAGTCATCAGGCAAGGCTGCAGCTTCTGGCTCCATGAGGGCCATAGAAGCCATTCAAAGAGCCCCCTTCTTTCAACCCTTGTAGTAAATGGCTAATGGACTGTTTTATGGTACCTTTAGCCTGAGTCACTTTCACACACACTGACACATTAATAAAACAAAGGCGTAATGGCTTAGCTGCTATGCTAGGTGCTAACCCACTCTGATACAGGCCTGTAGGCAACATCCTTGTTTATGGTGTCCATTTCATCCCTGTCCTGACATCATCTCTCCCTCCCTCTCCCTCATTATCTCTTCCCCCCTCTGATTGAAAATTATCTGTTTCACTGGCCTTGCATGTTGAAGCCCAGTTCAACCTCACCTGGCTCGGCTCAGCATGACACAGCCCTGCTCCAGGCACCGATTGGCCAGGGAGAGCTGTGTCATCACCTAGCCTGTTTGCCAGCCTTCTGTTTCAGCTATAAACACAATCTTAAAGAGCCACAACTGAAGATTTCCTTACCCCATCCTCACTGCAAGAAACATATGCAGAACTGACCTGTCTCCTCTCAGTGACAAAGACATACAGAGCAACAGCTGATCAGTGTTTGATTGTTGTGTCTTGTTGCTTTTCTTCTTTTGTCTCTCCTCTATCCACTCACCCCAACCGTTCGAGGCAGAAGGCTGCCCACCAAAAGCCGGGGTCTGTCGGAGGTTTCTTCCGTTAAAGGGAGTTTTTCCTCCCCACTGTCGCCAAGTGCTTGCTCAAGGGGGATTTGTTGGGTTTTCCCTATGTAATAATATTGATAATAGTAAGGTCTAGACCTTACTTTGTAAAGTGTCCTGAGATGACTTTTGTTGTGATTTGGCGCTATACAAATAAAATTTGATTTGATTTTGATTTGAACACCTGATCTGATGTCACAGCTGCTCGAGCTGCCAGAACCAAAGCAGCACTAGCTCCCTTTGGCATTAGAATGAGACTAGATCAAGGTCCATAATTAGTTTTGGAGGCAGGCCCAGAGACAAGAAGCTCAAAGAAGCTTGTATGACTCTCATGCATCTGCGACATTAACACATGGAATTGCGTGGAAAAAGAAAAGTGAACTGTGTTAGTGAGTGAAATTTATCAGCAGTCTCATGTATCGCTGGACAGGTTTGACACGTATCATCTGAATCATGTCTCCTCCTTGTGCACTACACTGCTGTGTTACATAACAGTCAGCATGAGCTGTGTAAAGACAGGGAGGGATGAGGCAGATGGAGACAGGGGAACTCACAGATAGCTAATGCCCAACCAAATGTGCACACATAAAATATCTAAACAAATTCCTTCAGCTAATGATGATGACTAAACAGATTATTAAAAGCTTGGATTTTTTCCATGTAGGACTTGCTACAGTATATTTTAAGGTATACTGTGTGGACCGGCAGACTTATACAATACTGTTGTCAAATGTGCAGCAGTATTTGAAAGAATATGGGACTAGAGAAGACCATTTTGAGTAAAAATGCCAATTTTGTTATACAAGTCCTTGTTAAAAATAGATAAAAAACAATGTTACCATGGTAGAGAATTTTAGCATCACTGCTCATTCCTGTAATAAAGATACCAGCACAAAACTGACCTCAGTGCACTCTGCATTTTGATTAATGCTTAAGTAAAGGACAGCTAATTTTATGATCTCCTGCATCTTTTTAAAGTAACAAACGGGAATGCATTGTAAGGAAACAGAAGCACTAAAGTGCATAAATGGCTCAAAATGTACAAAGTGGCTGCATATCCTTTTTTTTAACCGGGTTTCATTTCACCTTCTACCAATATCTGCAGGTAATAGTTTCTATATGTTTTATCATTTTTACAGAGACTAAGCTGTCCAACAAGCGCAAGCCAAAGTCATGTGAAACGACTACCGTCTCCTCAAACAGTTTTGGCTGACAGGTATACACGACGGTGAGAGCCTCTCAAGGTCACCCAGCCGTCCTCAGTGTCAGACATGACAGAAACCCCAGAGATACACGTCTCTTCTAAGACAGCTAGAGTCCTCTCTGACTGCTGCTGCTTTTCTCTCCTCATTGATTAATTTTTTTGAATAATTAGGAAAGTCTGTCATGTGGAACAACACTTACTGCTTCTGACCTTTTCCCCAAAGCCTTGTGAGCAAATCTGAGATACAGCAACAGCCCACTCAACAGCCTGAGTGCTCAACTCACACACTTCCCAAAGGTCTTCAAGAAGGAAAACGTAATTACATTTTGCAACCTAATCATGATCTTAAAATAAATGTAAACACAGAACACCTGGAAGCCAACAATCACAAACCACACAATGTCTCCACTTTGTGTGTATAAATTCAAGCTGTAATGGTGATGTCATGAGGCTACTCATCTACTGGCCATTATGTCAAATATTCATCTGTATGTTTGGGCTCATCTGACTGTGATTCAACCAGAAGACCCGCCCACAGGACTGAACATCAAAAGGCAGCATGATCAATCACCACCACAACTATTGTGCTTGTTTCAAGGGCAGCACAAGAAAATTAAATGAAAAAGAAATTAAATCTGCTATTGCATTTAATTTACAGTAATCTGGGGCTTAAAATGTTCTAAATAATGTAGACCTTTGTTTTTATTTAAATCCACATGTGTTTCGTGGATCTGGAGAAGGCATTCGACCGTGTCCCTCGCAGCGCCCTGTGGGGGGTGCTCCGGGAGTACGGGGTCCGGGGCCCTTTGCTAAGGGCCACCCGGTCCCTGTAC